TATGGCATGTATATGTAAAATATATATGCTGGTTAACAGATCTTAGGCAGGTGAGTGGTATTACTGGCTTTGAGAGCACATGAGCATTCATTGGAGGGTTCTTGAGAGTTGCCATAGGCTCCTGGCAAGCCTGCAACATGAGAAAGGCAAGATACAATGCTGTGCTTGGGTTTTGGGAAGGAGCCCTTCCTTAGGGTCTTTCCTCTGGAGCTCTTGAAGCAGACAAGCTCCTGAGGTGTGGTTTGTTTATGTATGTCAAGTATGGATTCTTTGACCTCACCAACTTGTTTTCCTCAAGAGACTGTATTTGTACTGTTAGTGAGGAACATTCAATTTCCCAGCCATTTCTTTCCTACTTTTGGGACTTCTGTGTTACTGCCATGCTTTTTTTGGTTTTAGTTTGTCAAACATTTCTGTTTGTTTTTCTCTAAATGAGCTTGTGGGTGAAGAGAGGCTATGGGGGCATGTGTTGTTGGTCCTTGTCTTGCCCAGGAATTGCTTCTCTAGGTACTTAGGAAAGGCTAATGGGGATTCTTTGCATCTTGTAGGCTCTCCACATGGAAACTGAGTCTCTGTGGTTTTTGTAGGGCTCAGGTCTGTCTCCTGCTTTCCTGGAAACCTTGTTAAAGTTGTTTCCTAGCTTTCTGAGTTGAGTAACCAAAGTGGGTACTGAGGCTTTTCCTTTTTCTTCAGACAGAGCTAGGTGCAGTTTCTCTGGTTTCAATCAGAGAAGGTATATGTACTTCATCTTAAGGATCCTTTTGGCTACCACGAAGTTTTACCAATAATCTTTCCAGAAGTGTCAAGTGTGTGTACTCCCCACCTGAGAAGGCTGAGAGTTGAGCAGAGGCTCCTTGTTGGAGATAGTCACAGCTGCTCCCTGCTTCTCATCTCATCTCTAGATGGATAAGTCCTTCTCTGGCCTGTACTTTTCTGAGTTTGTTCCCATTAGATTATATGCAGAAATGATAGAGTGAATCCTAGGATGATTATCTGCCTATAGTCTTCTAAGGACTGGAGAAAGAAGTGGCTAAGAGGTTAGGAAAATTACTTTTGTTTGGACTCATCTTCTCTTTTTAGTTTAGTGGTCCCTCAGGATCAAGCAGGCCTGTGCCCATTCTGTAAGGATAGCAGAGGTCCAGGGCCTTGAGATTTGTTCAGTATTCTTAGCCCTCCATTTTGCATGCCAAGTGCTGTGAGTGGGGTTTTAGAGAATTCTAGCCTGGTCCCTTTGAGGCCTTCCAGGTAGGAAACAGAGTTGCCAAGAAGTCCAAGACTTTTGAAAAGTAAGAGAGCAAGAGATCCCAGGGCTGATCATTATTGCCAGCAACAGGTATATTCTCCAGAGCCAGCTCTATGGAGTTAATTGATGTGTTTTCTTCTTTCTGGAAACTGGTAATTAACCCTGTTGAGGCATAAATGTATGTGATGCGGTGGATGCTTCCTGTAATCCTAGTGCATAATGTAGTGTCTCCCTTACCTTTCAGCTGACAGCTCTGACAACTCTGATTTGGAAGATGACATCATTTTACCTCTGAATGAGTGAGGAGTCATCACCATTTGGAAGAGATTATTGGCAGGCGAGAAACTGTGTTGTATGAATTGAGGACATCTTTCCTTTCCTTTCTCCCAGGGCTGTGTGTTAAGGAACTACATGCCCTGTATCCAGAAGATTATGATTTAAAGTCTCACTGGAATCTGAGGGTCCTTCTAAAAACAATAACAACCACAAAAAAAGACAACAGGGATTAGGCCCTATTCTGCTCCCCCCCCCACTAAGATGGACATATCTTTCCTCAAGGGAAAAACAAAACATGCCTCGGGTTATCTCACAGTATATTTTCTTTGTATAATGTTCTTTACTTAAAGAACAAGAAATAGTTTTTTATAAAATTTAAAAAAGAAAAAAAAATACAACAGGCATTTATAACTGAGGGTATGAACTTATATCCACTATGTCTCTTGTCCCTGCACTTCATTTTCTTTGGAAGAAAATGATGTCTAAAAAACAATAGAGGCATTTTTACATACGGTATTTAAATGAAAAGGAAAATCGTGGTTTCTTAAATTGATAAGGATTAAGAATATTTTATTATAAATATAATATATGATTTTTTTAGCCTGTTTTGTTGCCTCATATGCTGTCACGTTAATTTGTTTTCCTTCATGCCAGAAGTGAAGAAGGCGCCGCACTGGTTGTTTGCTGAGTATATGCCTAAATTCACCCACCTTCAGGTTTACGGGCAGTGTAGTCATTGTGGATATTGGTTTTGTGGAGTTGAGGGAACTTAGGATATAAGTTCACTCCCTCTATTTTTCTTTGTGATTCAGTTTTTCAAATTCCTTTTTTTCTTCCCTTTCTCCCCAATGTGGAAATTACAAATCAAAGGCCTTTTTCTTTAATGTAAAGTGTATTTATTTAAAAAAATACAAAATAAACTACAAGTCTTTGTTTATGGCCTTTCCCTGTTTTCTTTTACCAAAGTGAGATCTCCCTTTCTTTGCAGCTCTGGTAGGCCACACAAAAGATGCCTTCCTTCCAAGAGAGGCAGAGCAGGGTGATGAGAACATTTTATCCAACTATTGTACCTCTGGAGAACAGTAGCTCAGTTAGTGTCTGACCTGGCCTGTGGCTTGAGCAGAGGACCTCCTTTTGGAAAGAAAGGCGAGGACACAGCTCAGGGCACTGTTCAGAGCAGACACATCTCTCCATTCCCATGTTCTGGATCAAGAGGGCAGCTTCTAACTATAGACTTAGTGGAGCTGGAAAAGCAGAGGGCCTGGGATGTTTTGGAGGAATGGGCTGGCAGTGCTAAAAAAGAGCTTTTCAGCCATTCCTGTAGATGGGGTTGTGTCTGCAGTTACTGGTGGTTGAGGGCTAGTTGGGGTTTGGTCAGGTTTGAGTTTGCAGCTACTGCAGGGATATCTAAATTTGATTGGCCTATTTTTAGACTGTAACCACCAGAGAAAGTACCCTTTTTCACCCCACCCATTCCCCGCCCCCCAATAAATTGAAGACGCTGACCCTCCTTTGATTTTGCCCAGAAAAACAGCTTCTTGGTTACTGTTACATAGAATACAGCTAGAGTTTTTTCTTTCTTTACTGAGAGAAGAGGTGGGGGATTTGGTTGTTATGAATCAGACAAGCAACACAAGACAGCTAAAACTCTCCAGGGGCAGGAAAAGCCCTGCTGGGCTCAGGGGCAACATACAGTTTGTCATACACACTGAAGTGGGCCTGGGCCACACAGCACCTCTTGGTCCTCCAGCAGAGGTCTCAGCTCTTCATTTGCTTCATGCCTCAGCTTTAAATGGTAGCTAACATTAACCAGTGGGATAGCCTGACTGCTGGGACTGCTGCAATCAGAACCAGTGCATGCACTTTAACAGTCAAGCACATCCCTGAATCTGTCAGGAGCTCTTGGGAGTACCCACAGGTCTCTGAGGTGGAGATGGGCACTGCTCATAGGAAAGCAGAGTTCTGGTTGACTTGACAACACTTCCTTAGGGAAGTGCCTTAAGAGACATGTACTCTTTTTCTTTATTCTGCCAGGGGCCAGAATTAGTCATTTAGGAAGAAATATACAGACCAATAGTACACCATGGATGTGGCAGACTTCACCACTTCATGTGCTCTCCTTTCAAGCAACTTGTCAGCTAGGACCTGATCTCCAGGACAGTTCCAGTTCTCTCACAGGGTTGTCATGAAGCAGCCAGGGCCTTGGCCACCTGACCTTTCTTCAGTGCTGTCAAGGCCCAAGAGACCTCAGAATCTCCTGTGTCTAAAAAGCCAAAGATAGGAAGTGGTTGAGGTCCAAAGGGGTCACAGTGGGCTGTGGCTCTAACTCAAAACTGGTTATTTCTGAGGCCAGAAGGAACCCTTCCCTTAGGAGGGGCAGACAAGGCAAAGGCTGGTGGTGTCTCCCACCCAGGCTTTCTAAGAGGCCTATCTCCTTTTACTTGGTTCTAGGGTAGCTGAGCCATATTCTGGGAAGGAAGATAGGCAGCCCAGAGGTGACAGGGCAGCTCTGCCTGTGAATTGTTGAAGACATGCAGAGGAAACTGCAGTGCACTTCAACATGAGGCCTGTTTCTGGCAGCACCACCTACCCAGGTGTGTCAAGTGCCCAATGGACTTGCTTAGTACCTGGCATCTGTGGCCCAGCTCAAGCAGAAACAGGCAAATAAACAGGTTTCACACTTTCTTGTGTTATTTTGTTATGAATGCACTCGTTCTCGTGAGCACTGGCCGACTGAAGCTCAGTGAGTGGTGTGGTACTCTCGAGGCACATCCCCCTCTTGACTCTGTCTCCAGAGTCTAAAAGACAGCTCTATCCTCACGGACAGTCATATCCTCCATGCAGCCTGTAGGGAGCCCCTGCCTGCACAGAGCACTTACCTCAAATCCCACTGTCACCAATGCTGGCTGGAGAGCAGGCTGGACCTGCAGCACTAGCCTGACCAACAACCTATAGCTTCTGATCACCTGGAAGCGCGTCTCTTACCAGAGTTCCTACTCCTCAGACCTGACAACCCTTTTGGGTTGGGATACCCATGCTGCTACATAAACACAGCTGAATGCTATTTGCTGTGTTGTTTGGTGACAGCTGCTGTATGCTCCCAGTTTCCTCCCTAGTCCCTTGCACCAATGAACTTGTCTGCACTGTCCACCTAACTAACCAGACCAGTGAGAGCAGCATTCTAAAACTGCTCAGGCCACCTTTCCCTTCCAACTAGAAAGAGATCCTCCACATCTTTTTCCTTCCCCAGCCTGGTTTGAGTGGCTTTGCTTTTAGCCCTGCCCCAAACCTCAGCAATTTTGACCTCACTTTTTGAAAAGAAAATCCGTTTCTCAGCATTCCACACTTTTATTGGAGCAAGAAACTGTTAGGTCACTTACGAAGGACATCTTCCTAACCCACTGCATACCCCAACAGCACTGTGAAAACTTCAACTGGGGATCTGTTTGCCACAAAGCTCTAGATGTGTGACTGGGCACAGGTCCATCCTATTGACACCTCAGCCCTGAATGAAAGAAGAGCCAAAAATCAGACTCCCGAGTAAGGTTCGAGTTAACCAAGGCAGGCTGCCTCCAACGCTCCATGGCCTCTAGGACCTCCATGCTAAATAAGGCTAGAAAGGGAGGCTATACCAAAAGGAAGTGTGCGGGCACTGAGACCTCTTGGCATCAATATTGCACTGCTCCGCCATGCACAAGAACTGAAAACTACCCACTGTCAAAACAGGTTGTATAATTGGGCACTTCTTCCAATGAATAGGTTGAATTGATGGACACACTCAGGGCAGGGAAAAACAAATCAAAAAGTACCAGTAGCTGTTGGCACAGACCTTAGGCTTACCCATTCCTCTGTAGGGGACCTAATCAGGTTGCAGGGCCCAGGGCTGTGTGTGCCAGTATCAGCTAAGATTAAAACTGAGGATGAGTCCTGACTCAGCCTAATAGCTGAGAGCCACCAAAATACAGCAGGCCCCTTGGACACAGTGCCAGAAATGTGACGCAGGGCATGCACTGGGGAAGTCCTCCATTCTTTTAAGAAAAACTTGATTAAACTTGGACACTGAACGGATTAGAAATCCATCCTCTGACAAAGGCTTTACTGACAACTTTCCATACAGTTAGTCAAAAAATAAAAAAATACAGAATACAGCAGACAGTATCTCATAGAGAAGTCAACGTAACAGGGGTTCTTGTCATCATCATAAAAAAGTCCCCCAAAATCTAAGAACTTAGATTTGGTGGTGGACAGACTCTGATCCTCCCACCAAATGAACCAAATTAATCCAGTAGATAATTCAAACCAAGGTAGCAGGTAGAGAAGGAATCAGATTTGCAAGTTAACTGCTTTTGAGTTTGGGCTAGGCAGTGTCTCTTACTATAACTATCACCATGTGTTCCTCTTCCAGCTTGCCCAATGTCCTCAATGCTGACTGGAGGTACTGCTGGGAGAAATCACAGGGGGGGAAGGCGTAGAGCATGCCTGTGATGTCTTTGCCCTTGGACCCCCCTACTGGCAGGCTGATTACCCCTGCAGCCTGCTTCTGTTTCAAGTAGGAGACCAGGTTCCTGAGAAGCCGCCTCTGCAGGCCTGGCTCCACTGTGGCCATCACCTCAGTGCCAGACCCACTGGAGGCTGCCTGGGTGGCTAGGAGCACTGCATAACCATTGGGGCTCCCCTGCTTGATGCGTCGTGTGACCTCGTCAAGCTTGGGTTGGTCTAGTCTTAGACGTTGGGCGATTTTCAGCTGGGTCAACTTGCTCCCAGAAGTGTGGTCTTTGAGGAGACCGCTGATGACTCCCTGGTCCCCCTCTAGGATATGCATAGATGTTGGGAAGCAGCTGTTTTTCAACACTAAAAGCCCATTCCAACCCAGCTGCAGTGTCTGAGCATACTCTGAAAGAGTCTTCAGCTTTTTGGTCTCATGTTTTGGCTCTTCTAGAGGCTTGGGCTCAGCCTCAGTGGTCCGATGATTGCGCTCGCTCTCTCTCGTCTTCTTCCCATGGGAAGAGTCTGGAGCTTCGTGGTGGTGGTGGTAGTGGCTCCGCTCCTCAGCCCCATGTCTGCTGTTGCTGAGAGAGTTGCTGCCTGACTCCTTGGTCCCTTCACCAGAGTGGTTCTCCTTGCGGCTGCGCTCAGGGGTACGGTCTGAGCTGCGGTCAGACTGCTGACCACCACCCTTGGTCCTGCTCCTTTCCTCATAAGGAGAGTGGGTTGTCCTTCCGTGGTCACTGGAAAGGCTCCTCCGCTTGCGCCTATCTTCCCATGGCTTGGGCATGCCTCTGTCCCCTTCCCCTCCCCAGCGTTCACCACTCCGGCTGCGCATTGAACGACTATAACCCTCCAGGCTGTTTCTGCGGTCAGAACTTTTACCGGGGCTGGTCCAGTCCCCTTCCAAAAAGGTCCGGTCTCGGTCTGAGTACAGAAGGTGTGGAGGGGTCCTATCCCGCACCCGGAGGTCCGCATCCAGGGTTCGGTGCCGGGTATATCCATCTGTGAGAAGCTCATAGTGCACAGGGAGGGGTGAGGGCTGGTACTGCTGGGGATACCGAGACTCTTCTGCTTTGGCAAAATCCACTCGGAGCCTGCGATCTGGACCACCCAAAGGAAAGCCCCTCATTTTAGCACAGGCAGCCTGGGCAGCATCCAGGCTCTCGTACTGGATGTAGGCAAAGCTATCTCCTTTGACATGATCAATGGTCCGAATGCTTCCAAAGCGATCAAACTCCCGGGCCAGGGCTGCCAGTGAAGTGTTGGGTCCGAGGCCACCCACCCAAAGGCGAGTTGTGGGGTTGGCCTTCCCGTAACCGATCTTAATGGGATTTCTGCCAATCACCCGGCCTGACATAGCCACCTTAGCCCTGTGGGCCATGTCCAGGTTCTGGAACTTTAGGAAAGCATAGGCCCCACCCTGCCCTCGGGCAGGTCTCTTGATGACCACCTCCTCAATGATGCCGTACTTCTCGAACGCCCGGCGCAGCTCCACCTCGGACACACTGTGGTCCAAGTTCCCGATGAAGAGGTTTCGAGTCGCCCGCTGGTCGTCCTCGGGCATTAGGTCCTCTTCACACACAGCCGGGTAACCGTAAGGGCGCCCGCGATCGTCGTACAGCCCGTAGTAGTCCAGGGCCCGCTCCCGGGACAGTCCCACTGCAGCGGCGGCGGCGGCGTCCAGGGCGAAAGCTGCGG